GGAGATAGCCACCAGGTCTCTTGGGATCCTCATGCCAGAGAAACAGCAGGCGGAGAGGGGCTTACCACACAGGCTGGGGGAGCCGATCCTATCGAAGGGAGATGGGCTATTACACAACGGCACTGAGAAGCAGTATGTCTGGAATGCAGGACATCCCCCGGAGCACCTCTGATTCCTGTGTCCTGTGATTAAAATCAACGGAAAAATCACAGCCATTGGCTCAGACCCGTCTGGAATGAAGGCTTGGGACATCCTACAAAGCCAGGAGCCAGGATCAGCTGAGAGCATGCAGATGGACAGATCACAGAGTGGGGTGCAGGAAGGTGCTTATGGCGTGGCTGGGACCCCATGGCCCGCTGCACAGCCAGGCCCGCAGCATAGTCCGAGTCCTTATCTGTTGGGGATCCATGGGGTATGAGTGCAGTCTTGTGTTCTCCCCCTCCACCCCTCCATTCCTCCACCCCCTATGCTTTATATAAATGTGCTCCATTCCCTTCGTGCCTCAGGATTGGAAGCCTGGGACGTCAGAGTGGGGGTGCCACTCAGCTGGATGAGGGGCGGGCCCCACCCGGGGCGGATGAGGGCTCCCCACCTCCTGAGACAGGGTGTGCAGGTCCTGTGGCCTTAGCTGTGTCTCAGCAGGTGGGAGATTGGCTTTATTTGTCTTTATCTGGAAGTTGGTTGGAAAAGGCACGCAGGACACAGAAAGCAGAGTCGTGGCTGCCAGGGCTGGGGCCCAGGGGGGAGTGGCCACTCTTGGGCGTGCGGTTTCCTTTCTCAGAGCTGACGATGTTCCAAAATTAAGGAGTGGTGGTGGCTGCCTGACTCTGGATACACTCAAAGCCGTAGAACTGTACACTTTAGAAGAGTGTTGGAAGTTTGTGATATGTGAATTATATCTCAATAAAGCTGTGCTTTTGTGAAAAAAGAAGTGCCCGTGGGGGCCAAGGGGCAGAGGGAGGGCAGGTGCACAGCGTCACCTTTGGAGTATTTCCCAGAGTCACCTCCTACCACGTCCTGGGTTGTGTGACGGGTGTGAGCCTTGGAAGATGGACACAGTGGTGGGCGTTCCTGGTTGTGCTCAGAGGTTGCTCTGAGCACTGCAGCACCACACTGCGGCACCGTCTGGGGTCTGCTGGCTCACCTGCTGACTCACCTGCTGGCGGTGGGCGGGGGCGGCCCATGCTGACCTCGGAGGCAGAGGGTCCACACGCAGGCCCAGGAAATGAAATCCCAGGTTCTGAGTCGTGCCCAGGGCCCTGTGGTGTAGACCCCATCAGGTTCCCCACCCTCACCCCCTCCTCTCCTCCCGTTGGAGCGCACTATCTGGCTGCCACCCACCAGGGACCTCCCTGCTCCCAAGCCCAGCATACAGCCTTCTGTCCTCACCTTGGCCCTTGTGTGGTGGCCATCAGCCCTGGAGGCCCTGGGAGTCCCCGCAGATTGGCTCTGCTTCCCAGTCTCCTGCTGACGCCCCGGTGTCCCAAGTGCGGACAGGACTGGGGTCCCCGGGCCCCAACCAGGCCCCTTTCTTTTCTGGTTCTGGCTCCTTGGGTCATTTCATCAATTCTAGTGGTTTTAAATGTCAAAGAATCCAAGGGACTCTCAGGCCCTGCCTTCTTTCTAGCCGCATTCCAGAGATTTAGTGGGTATTTCCCAAATGACACCTTTCCCCAAGCCCTTCCTGGGCCAGAGCCCTGAGATTGCCACATCCCAGCCCAGGACTGACACATCCCAGTGGCTCCTCCAGAGTTCTTTCCAACAGACCGTACAAAACCCACAACAAACATTTGCCATTTTAACCATTTATAGGAGTTATAATTCAGGGGCACAACACATTCATGTTGTGCAGCCATCCCCACCGTCCATCTCTAGGACTGTCCATCATCCCAAATGGAGACTCTGTCCTCAGAAGACACCGACCCCATCCCTCCCCCGGCCCTGTGACCACCGTCCACTCTCTGTCCCCAGGAGACACTGACCCCGTCCCTCCCATCCTGTGACCACTGTCCACTCTCCATGTCCATGAGTCTGACAAGCCCAGGGACCCCACAGAAGTGGAATCCTACAGAATCCATCCTCTCCTACTATATTTGACTTACTGGCATATCATACAGGGTTGGTCCCTCTGACTCTGGCTTCTCTGGCTCAGCAGGACGTCCAGAGGGCTCCTTACGTCTGCACCCCTCCCCTGCCTTGGGCCTTATCACCTCCAGCTCCCTGAGCAGACAGCCCTGGGGGCGGGCAGCAGATGCTCACTGGAGCTGGGCACCAGCAGGTGATGCCTGCGAACCAAGCCCGTCTCTGCCCACTAGAGGGGGTCACATCTGAGGGAAGATCTGCCAGTGTGATAAACTGGGACGCTGACACTGGCTGGTGGTGCACATGAGCGCTTGTGTGTGTGTGTGTGTGTGTGTGTGTGTGTGTGAGAGAGAGAGAGAGAGAGAGAGAGAGAGAGAGAGAGAGCATGCACGCCCTCCATCTCCTCCCCTCCTCTGCTCCCCTCTCTCCCTTCTCTCCCTCCCTCTCCCCTGCTTCCACTCCTTCCCCTCTGCTCTCTCCTCCTTCCCTCACCCCCCCTTCCCCCCTCCCTCCTCCTTCCTCAGCCACCCCTCTCTCTCCAGGGATCTGCCTATAAATCTTACTTGCCTCAACTTCCCCGACTCCGATCTGCACCTCCCCACCTCTGGGAGACCTCCAGGCCCAACTGAGAAACCACAGGCTGTTGGTCCCCAGTAGGTCACCCTACCCACTGTGTCCCACGGATCCCTCACCATGTGCTGTCCTCGCTCGGAAACGCTGCAGCAGGAGCCTCCCCCTGTTCTGGCCGCTCACGGGGAAGGTGAGTGTGGTCCTAGTCTCGCCATCACTGCCACCGACACAGAGAGACCTGGTGGTACTAACCTTGAGCCCCTGATTGCAGGTTTCACCAACGTAACGTCAATGTTTGTAATTTACCTTCTGTGGGGACAGACTCTGAAGCCGTGTGACTGTCCTGTTCATCCTCAAACTGTGAGTCACGTGTCCTTGCGTCATGTAGTGATCCACACTCAGATAATCGTTACCGTGATGATCATGGAAGGGCAACTTTCCAATTTCACCATTCCTTCTGTGTTTATTAATTGGAATCCTACTGCAGAGAGAGAGGGAGAGAGAGAGCGCATGTGCTTTTTCCCCCTCCTCCCCCTCCTCCATGTGTGAACACGTGGATTTCAGGACAGACTCCTGAATCTCTGTTTCATGCAATGGGCTGTCATCTGCTACTGTCACATACTTTGATGCTAAAATCATCCCAGATTGGGCCGGCAGGAGTCTCTTCATGCTGGCCCCTTGGTCCTTCTGATAACCCCCCACAAGTTTCTTTTTTTAATTTTTATTTATTTATGATAGTCACACACACAGAGAGAGAGAGAGAGAGAGAGGCAGAGACATAGGCAGAGGGAGAAGCAGGCTCCATGCACCGGGAGCCCGACGTGGGATTCGATCCCGGGTCTCCAGGATCGTGCCCTGGGCCAAAGGCAGGCGCCAAACCACTGCGCCACCCAGGGATCCCCCCCCCCACAAGTTTTTGAGCAGCTTTCTTACTTTCCACTACAAGATGTTCCAGTTTCATCTGGATACTCTGTTCCCTCACCCTGGAATCAGCTGTGGCCCCAAGAAGCTCTGGTCCTTTTCACAGAGGCTAGTGTTTAAAAGCCAAGATCTGCATGTTGGGTGCACTCAGTGCCATTTGGGCATCAGTCTCCTAGATTGTCCAGCTGGGAACTCTCTCTCTCTCTCTCACAGCCACATCTTGTTCTCTCTGTTCATCCATCTTTCTACGTTACCATGATTTCTTTGACTCCGGCCCAACACTGCTGGTCTGTACAAGACCCCTCCATTCCATATCTGCCACTGCTTTCTCCGACTGCCGCACCTGGCTTCCTCTGTCTCCAACATGTACACTTCCACACCTCATTCTCCCCTCTCTTCATATAACTGACCTCCTGACCCTGCTGGTGTATCTCCTGTCCTTGACCCCTGCTCCATCCCCAGCCACCTCCCCTCAGCGTGACTGTCTCAAAGGAAGGGAACCAATAGATATGTTGTAGGTAAATAAAAGAGAAAGAGGGGCATCTGGGTGGCTCAATGGTTGAGTGTCTACCTTCAGCTCAGGTCATGATCCCGGAGTCCCAGGATAGAGTCCCACAGTGGGCTCCGCGCGGGGAGCCTGCTTCTCTCTCTGCCTATGTCTCTGCCTCTCTCTCTAGCTCTCATGAATAAATAAATAAAATCTTTAAAGAGAGAGAGAGAGAGAGAGAAACACAAGCCCCTCCCCTGTTCTTTGAGCACCCTCCCCCATATGCATCCCGGACCTCCCAAGATGGAGTGGTGTCATTTCAGTAGGAGCAGAAATTCCTGGGCTGACCACCAGAAGAGAGAAGCTGCAATCTGACTCTCACGCAGCATTTGCAGCAGAACTACTGCAACAGATGAGCCAAGAGGTTCAAGGAATCTGGACAGAGACCTGCAAACACAATGGATGGTAGTAGCAACATGAAGAGGGACAAGCAGGCAGATCTGGGAGCCAGGGGCCAGTGGTAGGTGTGGGAAGTATGGCAGTTGAACGACACAGTGAGTGGGCACAGGGCAGTACAGATTCCATGGGAAGGCCCATCGCAGAGGTGAGCTGTCACTTGTGGGGATTTGAGACAGTTCAGGAAGCTGAGAGGTGCCAGGAGAAAAGCTCAAACAGGCTGACCCAACAAGAACAGTCACAAAGGGACAGACGAGAGAGGAAGCAGGAAATGTTTGAGAAAGGAATGAAATAAGTGCCTCAGAATTAAAGAAACACAAGCGAGGGCTCTCGGGAGCCAACAGGACAGATGAGGAAGAAACCAGATGCATCCTGGTGACACATGCAAATGCCAACATTCTGGAACGTTCTGGAGTAACCGCAGGTCACCTGAAAGGCAAGAATGATATTCATAACATTCTCTGCAAGAATTATATGGGCGCCGACGCGACCGCGACCTCGGCGTCGGCTCCCTCCGCGGCTCCCCGGGCCTCCACCCCTCCTCGCGGCGCTCGAGGGACCATGGCGGATCCTCGCGTGAGGCAGATCAAGATCAAAACCGGCGTCGTAAAGCGATTGGTCAAAGAAAAAATGATGTATGAAAAAGAAGCAAAACAACAAGAAGAAAAGATTGAAAAAATGAAAGCTGAAGATGGTGAAAATTATGCCATTAAAAAGCAGGCAGAGATACTGCAGGAGTCCCGGATGATGATCCCAGATTGCCAGCGCAGGTTGGAAGCTGCATATACTGATCTTCTGCAGTTATTAGAGAGTGAAAAAGACTTGGAAGAAGCTGAGGAATATAAGGAAGCACGTTTAGTATTGGATTCAGTGAAGTTAGAAGCCTGAAGTTTTGCCGTGCAGGGTGTTTTTTTCATTAAATCCTGAGATCCATTCCACAATTCATTATTTTTGACCACTGCTCTATGTTCAAGTAGTATAAGAATGTGATTCTTTTTATGCAGTTGCGTATATTTTTCTTTGCCTAATTTAATGTGTCAAATAAATGAGTTCGTCTAATAAAAAAAAAAAAAGAATTATATGAACAAAGAATTGTATTCTGAAAGCACAGAAGATAAATAACTTGGCATAGAGGATTTTATAGGGCGTGATTATGATTTAAATGTGAAAGTGGAATAAAGATCATTTTAGGAAACAAGCCTCAGAATATCTAGAATATTGGCCATGGAAACACCTGCCTTGCCCACAAAATTCTCAAACAAGAGAAATAATTCTTGGAAGATGCACCAAGAGCTGTGGCAGGTGGGGAGAGACCAAGTTCCTGCTCACAGAGCTGGCAATCACCAATGAGAAAATACAGTAAGATATACACAAGATACCACTTATCATGATAACAAAACTGGGGGTATCTAGAAATTAATGGAATAGAAATATTTCAGGCCTCACTGTGAAAAATCTAAGATTCAAACAAGGACCCTGGTAGACATTGTTTGGAGTAAACAGACAGACATCTCATGCAAGGATGCTTTTATATGACAAAGGTGCCAATCTTCCCTAAATTGACTGAGACATCCAGTGCAATCCTAAGCACATTCTCAGCTAGGAGTCTGAAACGCTTGATGTACTGACTCTGCACTGATGGTGAAGTACAGAGGTCCACCAACAGGACAGTCAGCTTGATACAAAGAACAGCAAAGACAGACTTGCCTACCTGACATAAGGACTTAAGAGGAAGCCTGATAAAAAAAAAAAAATCCCGAACTGCATGGGATTGCCACAAGAACAAATCCTAAAAGACAGAGGGTGGACAGCTTGGAGACAAATGCTCATATACATTTATTCCATACTTAAACATATTTATTTGTTCACAAGAACGTTTATGTGAATGGGAAACCCATTTAATGAAGAAAAATTTTTCCCATTAACTTAATGGTGAGAATTATGATGTGCTTCATCCCAACCCAATACCCCCTACAAAATTCTGCAGATAATATGATGTATAAATTGAGGAATAAAAATAAATGTGTGCAAAGAACATATGAATTTTAAAAATCAGTTTGTCCATTTCTATAAAAAAGCCTGGTAGTATTTTGATTGGGATTATGTTGAACCTAACTGGGAGAAAATTCATATCTTAATATTGGATCTTCCAGTCAATAAATACTGTGTATCTCTCCATTTATTTAAGTCTTTTATAATTTCTCCCATAGTGTACAGTTTTGAATGTCTTTTGCCATATTTATATCTATGTATTTAATATTTTTGATGTTATTGTAGATGGCCATTTAAAGTTCATCTCCCTATTATTCTTTGCTGGCATACTGCATTACAATTCATTGTCTATATTGAGCTTATATCGTGCAATCCTGCTAAGCTCATTTTAGTTAGAGTAGTGTTTTTTTTTAAAGATTTTATTTTATTTATTCATGAGAGACACATACAGAGAGAGAGAGAGGCAGAGACACAGGCAGAGAGAGAGGCAGGCTCCATGCAAGGAGCCCGATGCGGGACCCGATCCTGGGTCTCCAGGATCACACCCCAGGCTGCAGGCGGCGCCAAACTGCTGCACCACCGGGGCTGCCCTAGAGTAGTGTTTTTGTACATTTGGTCAGATTTTCTCCAATGGTGATCGTGCTTTCTGTGAGTAACAGTGGTTTGCTCTTTCTTTCCTACCTAGGTGCCTTTTTATTCTTTTTCTTGCCTTATTACACTGGCTACAATCTAAAGAACAAGGCTAAATAGAAGTTTGAGAAAAGTCATCCTTGTCTGGTTCCTGATCCTAGAGGGAGGGCATCCAGTCTCTCAGCATAAAATTTGATGTCCTTTATCAGGCTGAGAAAAGCTCCTTTAATTCTTACTTTGCTGGGATTTTGAAAATCATGACTATTGGATTTTGCCAAATCTTTTTTCTGTATCTATTGAGATAATGATGTGGTTTTTCTTTTTAAATTTAATATGGTCAGTTAATTGAGTTGGTTTTTTAAATGTTAAACCACCTTGCATTCCTAGAATAAACCCCACTTGGGGGCACCTTACTTGGTAGTTCAGTGGTTGAACATCGGCTTTCAGCTCAGGTCATGATCCTGGGGTCCTGGAATCAAGTCCTGCATCAGGTTCCCCACAGAAAGCCTGCTTCTCCCTCTGCCTGTGTCTCTGCCTCTCTCTGTATGTCTCTCATGAATAAATAAATAAATAAATAAATAAATAAATAAATAAATAAAATCTTAAAAAAAATAAACCCTACTTGTGTATTGTTGGATTTGATTTGCTGACGTTTTCTTTAGAATTTTTGCATGTATGTTCATGAGGGATATGAGCCTATAGTTTTCTTTCCTTATGTTGTATTTGTCTGACTTTGGTATCAGGGCAATGCCAGCCTCATGGAATGAGTTGGGAAATATTCTATCCATTTTAATCGTTCTGTATGAGTTTATGTAGAACTGGCTTTATGTGTTCCTTAAATATTTTAAAGAATTTACCAAAAAAAAAAAAAAAGAATTTACCAGTTATGCCATCTAGGCCTGGAGTTTTCTCTGTAGGAAGTTTTTCTTCTACCACAAATTTAATTTACTGAATAGATATGAGTCTATTCTGGTTATTTATTTACTCTTGAATGAGTTTGTTGTTTGTTTTAAATGTTTTTTTATTTTTTTTAAATTTTTATTTATTTGTGATAGTCACACACATAGAGGCAGAGACATAGGCAGAGGGAGAAGCAGGCTCCATGCACCGGGAGCCCCACGTGGGATTCGATCCCGGGTCTCCAGGATCGCGCCCTGGGCCAAAGGCAGGCGCTAAACCACTGCGCCACCCAGGGATCCCTTGAATGAGTTTTGGTAGTTTGTGTCTTTTAAAGAATTTGTCTATTTCATCTACATCAATGACCTATTGGCATAGTTTCATAATATTCTCTTATTCATTTAATACCTGTAGAATCTATAGTGATGAAGTTATCTATCAATCGATCGATTGATTGATCTGTCAATCTATTGATCAATAGATATCACCTAGTAGTTCTCTTTCCCTGGAGAACCCTGACTAATACATATTTTTGTATGAAGAGTGATTCTAGAGGAAAAGGATGTTAGGGAAAATTCATATCTTGAGTTGGTTCTTGGGTTTCTGGAACTGGCTCTCCGGTCTGATTGGATTGAAGATGGGAATGACTATTTCCAGTACTAAGGACGGACAGTCCATGGCATGATATGGCAATAAGGATGCATAAAATTCTTAAATCCTCCTAACTAGCCACTTACAGGAAGCCAGGAGCTGGATTACCCCGAACGTTGTGAAAAACCAAAACTCCAATGACGTTGGTTGGTTGCTCCTAAAGATGCTGGACAGAGCAGTTCAAGAAAAGAATGAGCTCAAGAATTCCAATTCTCAGCTTTGATGCCACAGAAACAAACCAAGAGCCTCTGTGTGTGCCCTGACAACAGCCATGTGCCCCCCCAGCTGAAGGGCAGAGGTGGCTCAAAATCTGATGCAGACCCTCATCCTGTGATCGGCCGTACTACATTAAGGGAACCCCCAGCCTCTCAGGGTGTCTGCTGTTAACGCGAGGGCACTGACTGGGAAGGCTACAATCCTGTAGGCTGGGGTGGCGATGAGTGGCCAGACCCTGCAGCAGTGGGGGATCCCACACCCCTAAATTCTGACGAGTCTTCTCTTCAGTGGAAGAGATCTCCCCACCCCTACCCCAGGAGCATGACCCTGCGCTGCTGGAGGGGTTGCCACTCTGGGTCTCCTCTGGACCCATGCCCACCACCCCTCTTTGCTTCTAGAGCCAAAACTAGATGCAAGTCCCAGCAAGCCCCGAAGGTGAGGAGCAAGGTGTGACTCACGAAAAGGTGTGCCGCACTCCGACAGCACAGCTGGGGCTTCCTGCTGCTTCCAGATGGAGGCCGGGAGAACACGGGCAGGAATGGGTCTGAGGCTGTGGGATAGCACTGGAGGGGACGTAAAGTGGGACCAGGCCTGGCCTCACTCAGCTGGGATTTGGGATTTTTTTTAAACATTTTATTTATTCATGAGAGACAGAGAGAGAAAGAGAGAGAGAGAGAGAGAGAGGCAGAGACACAGGCAGAGGGAGATTCCCCACAGGGAGCCTGATGTGGGACTCGATCCCAGATCCCAGGATCACGACCTGAGCCGAAGGCAGACCCTCAACCACTGAGCAACCCAGATGACCCTGGGATTCAGAATGTAACACTGCTGCTTGGTGCCTGAGGAAGGGCTCTTGCAGTCTGTCGGCTGAAACACAGACCTAAGGATGGCTTGCCCCGAGTGGCCGGAAAGGCCTGACCTCCCCTGGCCAAAGGCTTAAGGAGGTTGGAAAGTTGGGGTGGGTTTGCTGACATGTGCTCACCCCCACACTGCCAGGGCTCGGGAGACATGATTTTCATCAGAACTGCAGGGAGTGAAGGGTATGCCTGTCTCACCACGACCAAGGGGCACCTGTGCAGGCTCGAGGGACTCTGCGGTCACTTTGCAGGTACACCTCGTGGGGGATCTGCAGCCTCTGACCTGGGAATCCTAAAAACCATGACAGCAATTGGATCCTGGGGGCAGGGCCACGCAGTGGCACTTGGCCACCAAACACAAGCTGGACGCAGCTCCCCAGGGTGGACAGCAGAGTCCAGGCAGCAGGCAGCACATTCAGGCTCACAGAGCCCTGCAGGGATGGCTGGTTGCTCGGGGCATTCCCAGCAGGGATGTGGATGGGACACACACGGGATCCCCACTCCATCTGTAGGAGCAGAAGGGTCCTGGGTGGTCAGGGGGTCGCTGGAGGGGGGTTGGGGGGACAGGGTCCCTGAGGGACAGTCGTGAAGGAGGCACGATATGGGATGAGCCCTGGGGATTCTATGCGACTGATGAATCATGAAATTCTACCCTGAAACTAATAATACACTGTATGTGAACTAAACTGAATTTAAATAAAAAATTAAAAAAAAAAGAAAAAGAAAAAGAAACATCCTGGGTAGTGTGAGCATTCATCCCAGTGGAACCCCGACAACAGAGACACATGGCCCCCACCCTGGTCAACCTTGAGGCTGAGCCA